TTTTTTTTTTTTAGATAAAGAAAATCGCGCAACTTTTACACGCGTCTCTGTCATTTGCATACAAGAATTTATACTTATCGAAAAGAATTAAGGAATAAAGTAGTTACTTTAGGACTAGTAATAGAAATAGTATATTGAAATATTTTTCTTTCGTTTCTCGTGATATTGAAAATATATAATACGTTTTCTTCTAATTAGATTAACTGTAACAAGATTTGGAACAATCACGCGTGTTAATTAACGCAATCTGGCTACAACCTGGAACGAAAATTATTTATTCGACCAATCGACTTAATTTTCCAATATTCGATCGAAAAACCGTTTCCCTCTTTCTCTCTCTTTCTACACGAGATTACACAATTCACGATCGTGAATTTTCCACGGTTACTTTTCAAACCGAAGCCACGATAATTAAGCCGAACGACTGGTTAGCGTTGTTTACGAAGTGCGATTTAAACGAGGCCGTGTTCCGTCACCACCGGCAATTAGCCGAGCTAATGAAGGAGAATTGTGTTTCGTTTTAAATTTAAATTCGTCCGCGGCGAGCACCACCCCGAGCTGTTCCACTCACTCGCGAGTTCCATCTGGCCGGCTGATCACGCGTCGACTCGTGCTACTGAAAGAGCGCGCAGCCTTCGAACGTAATCTCGATGAAAGTAATTATCTCGAATTTCGGGATCGAGCATTCGATGAATGCATCCCACGATGCATTAGACGAGGTGGTGGAGTTTATTTTGAAAATAAATCGAGGATTAAAACAGGGAAGCGATGAGAAACAGGGGCAAGATTATTTATACCCTCTTTTCGGATAATTTTGATCGTGCATTTCCTCCTATTTCTATCATATTTGATTATAACGAATTCGATTTCTCTGTTGAATCTGAACAACAATCGTTTCCACAGAAGAGAAAGAGGAAGGATTTTTCAATTTTTCCTAACTTTTATAAAATTTGTTAACATAAATAATTTTAGATACATAAAAATGTTGCCCGTGTCTTGTATTAATGTTAATTGATATTGGGAAATTTTTACACGAAAAAAGAAGCGTTAAAGCGTTTCGAAGGCTAACGTCGATATTGTCCACGGCCATCGGTGTGTTCGTGTAAACAAATTAAGCACTAGACGTCAGTCGACCGACCTTTTTCGCGCGCTTATAACTGACTTGGCCAAGGATCGCCAAGAAACACTCGAAGATGAAGGGAAGGCCGCAAATTACCCTTAAGCGGCGTTCACAATCGCCAATGATCAATCATACGTTCGTTCGTTCGTGTTGCAATCGAAAGACTTCTATCAACCTGAACGATGATGTAATTTAATTTAATTTTTTCCAATTTTCGTTTCACGAATCCTTTTTTCGTTTATTTTTTTTTTTTTTTCTTATTTTGTAAAATTAAAATTTCGAATAAGAGAGTTTCGGTACGCTTCATATATACGCACAGCTCGTTATTTCGTATTATTGCTATAGATCATTAATTATACGCGATATACGAGGCACGATTTATGAGAGCGATGAATCATTGTTCTCCATTAAAAACCCGTCATTTCGTACAAATTGCTCGTCCGCCGGAAGCGGATGACCCCGTGGGATAGTTATCGCGTTGAAATTCACTGATATTTGTTTCGTCACTGTTCCATACAGATATTTCATATACGTTTCTTCCTTTTAAAAATTCTCTTTCCAGTTTCCTATTTAAAATAACTCTTCGAAATTTCTACTTCGATGCTAATTATACAATATTAATTCGTGGATTCGTTTTCGATACTCTTTCCCTCCAATCTTGCAAAATTTGAAAAAAATCTGAAAATAATCTTACAAAGAAAATTTCTCTCCTCGAATCTTGTCATATCTTTTATAATCGTTCTTAATTGAAATTATCAAAATATCTTGAATATCTTTTTAATATCATGTTCGCACGAACGAACGAACAAGAAAAAGGATTAACTAAAACGAAGAAGGAGGAGTCAGAAAGAAGGAGGAATCAGCTCAACCAACCTTATTAAAACTAATTGACTCGTCCGCAAAATCTATTTCTCCGCGTTTCCACGCGATCGATTCGCGAGATGGCCCCCGTCAGATGCTGATGATTTATCGGCCGCGTTATATTTTATAAACGCTCGGCCCTGTTATCGTGCAAGAGATGGTCGGATAAAATTACTGCACGCGAGGGGGAGGGAGGATGGGCGAGGATGGTTGAGGAACGGAGAGGGATGGAATTATCGCGAATTTTCGCGTGCGGCCTCGCGTGTGCACCAACAAACCCCCGAGCAAAATTGTCGAGAGCGTTTTAAGCCTCCCTTGCACCGTACTTCCGGCCAACCTTCGAACGAATTTCACGTGTACACACCCTGTTCCACGAACTGTGTGTGTGTGTGTGTGTGTGTGTGTACGTATGCGCTTCTTGTGCAATATGGTGTTCGAAAGCGTGAGGTTGATTACGATAAATGTTGTAGGGGAAAGTTATAGGAACGTTAATTGATTCCGTTTAAGAAGTGAAGAAAGAAATAGGAAAGCTTGCTCGCCAAATGAATTATCGAGTATATTCGTTTTCGAATTATTGAGTATGTGAAAAGTAATTTTTTTTTTTTTTGGAGCTTTGAATTGTAAGGTTTTTTTATTTTTATTTTATTATTTGTAATAAGTTATTGGCGATACAAATTTCCAGAGATGAATCGAAGTATCATCTATATTCCGATGAAATCGCGTAATAAATTAATACAAAAGGTTAATGGTAATGAAAATAATAACGAAAATCGATTTAAGAAATTCACTTTCCTTTCACGTCCCATTCGAACGAGTCTTTTATGCAATTTCATGGTTTCGCTTCAACCGGTCCATTTACATATTATATATAAAAGATACATTCGAGGTTTTACAATAGGTACGATGACAGTATCCGGCGAAAGATGGAATTGTCGCATTTTAAAATTAAATGCGTTTTCGATGTAGAACTGTGATAAATCATCGCCGATAAAACGGAGCAATATTTTCCAGCGACACGATTCCATCGAGTTTGACAGTCGACAGATAGTTTTTCGCTGGTCGAAAGCTGTCCAACTATTCGAAATATTCCGAAATGTTTCGAAAACGAGGCTGTTTCGTAATTCTCGATCTCGTTGTATCTCGATCGATGCAAATTATATTCGTAAATACCTTTCGTTTCGCCAAGTTTCGTATTCTCCTCCCTCTCCTTTCGGCAATTTCACAACGAGAACAACTATGATAGAATTGAAGAATTGGGATACAACAACGATTCCCCACAAAAATTTGGAATTTTAAGAAATTTCGATCTTAAAAATTGGACACACATAAAACGAATGATCAAGATTTATTTTTAATAATCATTAAAAGAAAGAAGAAAAATTATTGGACAAAAATTATTGGCTCTCTTCTCTGGTTCAACACAATTCGATTAAAACTTATAGAAATCGATCCATCGTAAAAAAAGAAAAGTCAATTGAAGGATCGTCGAGTAAAAGTAATTCGAAAAGCTAAATAAAAGCTGGTTGGAAGATTTTTATTGCATGTAGATAAATGGTTAACATAATCAAACAATCTAGTCCTAGAAACTCGGTCATAAACTCGGACTAATCAACGACACAAGGTAATCGAAAGGCGCGTATCATATGAGCCGTGCTGTCGAGGTCGCTGCATTTACGAGGAACAAGCGTAGTGGTAGACGACGATTCTCACGCGATCATTTTACGACTCTGTCTCTCAAGATTCTACGACGACCAAGGAAAACCATCTCCGACGATTTCTTTATAGCGTCGTCGACCATTACGGAATTGCGATCGAAACTTTCATCGCGTTACGTGAAATAATCCCACAAATATTATCCCTTGCTTCTTACTCCGGAAGAATGTTTCTATCGTTAATATTTGTATTCTGTCGTAAATATCGCGCGAATGGAAGTTATAAAGAAGTTATTATACGGTATTAAGCGAAGATGCGTGAGTGGAAATTTTTAGCGAGTAGAAGAACATAGCAAATTCCGTGTGATAGCGCGTCCATCTACTATTATGTCTCGTGGTGAAATAATTATAAATGAAACAATAATTATTTGGAATAATTATTGAATTATCCATCATTTTATCTATTGTCCATCTACAATTCTTGCAATCACGTGTATCGTGTAAATTTCGTAAAGCGAAACTTCGAACCGGGAATCGAAAAAGCGTTAGATCAAGTGATGCGAGTATATCATTAATCAGACTACGTTAAAATAATTATTGGATATATTTGAAGCAAAAATTTATTGGGAATAATCATTGAATTTCTGTAGTTCTTTCTTCTATTTAATAAAAGTATTTTCCTCGGAATATATAAAATCGAAGGTTTGTGTGTGTGTTTTTTTTAAATTAATTATCATCTTGAGGGGTGTGATAGGGTTTTAAATCCCTCGAGACGAATAAATTATTTTTCTCTCTCAGTTACGCGGCGTGCTGCGATTTCCTGCAGAACAACAACTTGCTGAGCATCATTAGGGCGCACGAGGCACAGGATGCGGGTTATCGCATGTACCGGAAATCTCAGACGACGGGCTTCCCATCGCTAATCACCATCTTCAGTGCGCCCAACTACCTCGACGTTTATAACAACAAGGTGAATTGCATCGATAGATTTTATCACAGAAGAGGAAGAAAATAAAGCGTCTCGAATAATTTTGAAAATCTTTTTTTTCTAGGCGGCAGTGCTGAAGTACGAGAACAACGTGATGAACATCAGGCAGTTCAACTGTTCACCTCATCCTTATTGGTTGCCCAACTTCATGGACGTATTCACGTGGTCCTTGCCGTTTGTAGGTGAAAAAGGTAAGCGCGTTTTCCTTGCATTTCATTCGAAAATTAATTATTGTCATTTTTTTTCGAAGAATTTGTTTTCTATATCTCGCTTCTCGAAGAAATTATATAATAAGATCGATTAATCGATCTCGTGTTTCATTATTTTTTTGGATTTCGTGACAGTGACAGAGATGCTGGTGAACGTGCTCAACATATGCTCGGACGACGAGCTGATGAGCGACGGAGACGACGGGCTCGAAGAAGGTAATGTCCATTATCATTTCTCTCCCCCTTTCTTCTTTAATACGATACACGTTTCTTGCAGAGATTCTTCTTTCTCTCTATCTATCTATTTCTCTTTACATATATATATATATATACATATCAGTATTTTTCTTCTTATTTTATTCAATCGGTATCCACTGGTTCCTCTTACATCGTGATCAGAGTGTTCCCTCTTGTGCCACGTTTTTTTTTTTTTTATGCTTGAACGATTAACCGATTGAAGGGAATGTACATATGTAATCCCATTTCCAATACCAAATTTATTTTTACCCGTTCGATTAAAAAAGAGAAATTGAAATATCTTTACGTGTTATCCTTTTATCGAAATTTGTTTGAATAATAAATTTCTTCCAAGATTTTTTCTTTTTCTTTTTTTTTTTTTTTAACGTTCGAAGCGATTGATATTAATCGTTAAAGTGTTTTTTCTTCTTTCGTCAGATTAAAAGGAACGAATCGAAGGAACGAATAATATCGATTAGAAAATCTTCAATCTTGGAATCTTATTTTTTGTGCATTGATTGTATATAAACGTGCTCCAGACACGATTTAAGAGAGGCCACGTTGAAGTATCGGGAACGCGAGGATTCATCTCTTCTCGTCGCGCGTTAAAGTCTCAGAGAGATTGTGTAAGAGTGATGGCACCCCCCCTTGAATATCTCTGAATCTTCGCGTTCGACCGAACGAGAGATCGATCGCGTGACTGCAAAGAGTTTAAAAAACAAACGAATCTCCTTCTTTTTTTCGATATCTCTTTTTATTATCACACCTTTTTTTTCGATCCAGCTTCGATCCGCACTTCGCTTTTACGAGGAAACGTTTTGCTCGAGTGCTCTCGCTCTTCATTTTCCTTTGCTTCGTTTCAAATTTATCTTTCTTATTAAATTTGTAATGAATTGCAAACAGAGTTGGGGAAAATGGATTCTTAAAATGGGATAAATGGGATAGATGAGTATTTTCATTTTTTGGAAAAAAATAAAAAATAATCAAAAAGTGAAAAAGAGGATATAATGATAATCCATGTTTTATTTTAATTGAATGGAATATAAGTATTTTATTTGTTTAACGCATTCAATGATATTCGTAATACATCTAATTGGATTTAGACAT